TTGTAAAAGATTGATAAGAAAAACAGCTAACATTGCAGGTGTACAGCTAATTTCCCTTGTTCCCTATGTTTCCCATGTGAGCATGGTTACCCACCTAACAAACAACTAACAAAACCAGTTAGAGGCTGACCGAGCTTCAGAGGTAACTTCAGATGAAGCAAAACCAGACTAAACATCAAAAGGACTTCGCATGCTTGATCTGCATTTAAAAAAAAACACATACAAATGGACTAGTAAAGACTTGAATCATCATTTTCTTTAAAAATATGTACCCCAATGCAGTGCTGCAACTGAGAAATATCCATGGCAACATGAAAACACATATAAGAGCTCTCTCTATTTAATAACTTCGTGACACCCTAATGTTTTAAATTATAGAGAAGGCCAGTATTTAAAATTATAGAGAAGTTCAACAGATAAAACCCAAACAAGAGTACTCTAAACTAATCTAAGTGTCCACAGCATGTTCTCCCACCCCAATGTTTTAAATGTTTTTATCAATCCATTAAATTAATATTTCACATACTTTCTCTTTAAAGAATTGATCGTAACACAGGGGCCCTGCCAGTACTTGATAGTGTGTGAAAGCAGCAGCCTGGGCTGAATATTTATCTCTAATTCAACTCTTTCCTGAATTAGCAGCTGACACAAGGAAGGCTTACTGTCAGTATCTAGGAGACATTTTGACTTTGGAAACCATTTTCTCTCTGCCAGACACTTGGTTCCAGCTGGCTGAGACACGATTTGATTCTGCTGTGTTGCTGCCAGGGCAAGAGGTCTGCCCAGCTGGACAGTCCTTGTGCTGGGGTCGTGATCCAGGGGACCCTTACACGTCCCTCACAGCTGTTCTGTACCTTCTGCTTCCCGATGGCAGCAGCCCTGCCCTTCACACCTGGGTGTGTAAGGAACAGGAGTTTCCCCTTGTGCAGATGTTCATACTGGATCTGGATTCCAGGCAGCTGCATTTGCAATGTGACCAATGGCTACAGTCCCAAACATCCAAATCTGCATCCCTATCAAGGCATGCATCAGATGCCTTTTGCCAGTACAAACAGGTGTCCTTCCTGGGAAAACCAAGATGCAGGATCAAAGGTGCTGGTGCATTACTGTGTCTTACCCACTTAAGCCACAGCACAGCTGGAGCACACATCCAGACCTGAGAACTGCTCCTGGATCCTGCAGTTTAGGCACAGAGGCTTAAGGAAACTCCATTCCCTCTAGTGATTTTTGGCATTTCCCTACCTTTGCTTCTTTAGGTGTAGTCCTTGTCCTCTGTAGTACACGGGGTCCTTGGCTGGATGCCCTCACCTCCTCAGAGCTGAGGACTGCTTCTGGCTTCCCAACTTCCAGCAGGTCCACCACCATTACACCAACTGTCCTGCTACTCAAACCACCTCCTTTCCCCTGCCCAAAGCTTGCTCCTTTTTCATGTGCAGCTCCAAGTCAGTTGGCATTGCTCTCTACCAAATCCTCACTTTTTGTTCCACTTTAGCCAGCTTTCCAAACTCTGTGTTCTGCACAAGGAGCAAGTTGGTTCTCCTCCACACCAGCAAACACATTCCCATTAACCTTAAGGATGCCCTTCACCTCGGACTGGGCTGGGCTCTGCTAAGGCCACTGTCAGCAAAGAGGGATTTCATACACCCCAGTCCCTCAGTTTTAGTTGTGAGCTGCACCCAGGACTCACCAGCTGCCTACAAGGCAGGTGCCCACAGTCATCATGGATCCTCAACAGTCTGTTGTTAACCCACATGCACTTGGCAGTTCAGTCCTCAGCAGTTTGGTCCCTTCCAACATGTTCCCACGGGAGTACCAGCATCCTGAATGGTTGATTCCAGCCAAGACCAAGAGTGTGGCAGGTCCACAGGACAGCTAAGATTTTGTTCACACTGTTAGAAGAGGTATTCTAAAAATGTGCCCACAAAGAGTGCATGATTGATTTTTACCTCCTTAGTCCACCACTCCACAACTGAAATGGAAGATAGACATTTACATAAGTAAAATCAACAATTATTCTGATAATAACTGCAGCTTAAAAGTCCTTGACTTCACTGACATTGCTGGGGACCTCCGTGGAGCAAGGACAGTGGCACTCAGCCAGCAGGAAGGGCAGCAGCATTACCCTGCTGAGATCAAGAGAGTTATTAACCCAGAGTCCTTCCACTGCTGAGTGCAGATGGTCACTTCAGCTATTTCAAAGCCCCACTGCAACTTCCTGGCGAACAGAGCTCAAGTGTTTGCATGGCTGAGGAACAAAAAGGGTATCAGAACATTAGAGTGCAAGTCCACATCCATCTCTGGAGAGACAGGCACACGGCCCCATGTGCCACAGGACACATCTGAATCTCCATGACCCTCACGCTCTGGAAATATTCAAATGGGATCCTGTTTCTTGCTCCAAGTCCCGTTGCTTTCCCCTGCCTACGCTGTCTGCCTGCTTCTGCACACTAAGACATCATCTGCACCTGGTTCATTGCCCAGAACTCAGCCCAGACACACTGGAGGAAGAGATGAGGAAGATGAGAAGAGTCTTCTTGCCTAGTGTCCAGCAGGTAAAGAAAAACAAAAGCAAAGAAAAACAAAAGGACTTTGGCAGAAAATGAAATACTCCATAAGTACAGTAACAATAGATTGTACATTTTTCAAAAGCAGAGCCATTTTTCCAGAATTAAAGGGGGAAACACTGGAACCCAGAGGTATCATTAGCACCGCTCAGATACGGCCAGACATGTTTCCACATTGCCAGGGCCCTCAGCACTTCTGTAAATTTCCTTTTACACTCCTTTGATACGACCCTCCCATAGTAACTTCAGTGAAACACCTGAAGAATTTTTATTGTTTGTAGATTTAAGCTCTCATTAGGCTGTTCTCCTATTTCAGAGGAAAATGTCAAGTTTCCTTTAAGCTTGCCATTTATCAGCTCCTCTCCTTTTTCTGTAGGATGACTATTCCATTAAAGACGTGGTCCTCAGCCTGAGACAAAATGGATGATGTGTCTGTTTGAAATAGGATTGTTTACTTTGTCAATGCTCCTGGGATCAATTTCATTTTTTTCCCCACCATCTCCTATGGAGAACATCTTGCCAAGTGCAGTATTCATCTCCCTGAATGAGCTATCAAGATCCATTTTTTTTTTTTAGAGAAATCATGCTGCAACCCAAACTGGTCAGAACCTCCCACAGTTTCAGGACCATGCACGGGTACGAATAACACAGAACCTTATCTGGCACAATTTCAGTATTTCTTTCACAATTTCTCAAGAAAATAGATGCCGTGAAAGAGAAAATTATACGCTTGTAGTTTTAACACCAGAAATAGAAAGCGGCGCACGTTCTCCCTCGCTGGATGCTCAGACGTGTCTGAACACCCTCTCACAGGCACAAAATACAGGAGCAACACTGCAACATCCCCGTTGCACTGAACCCACCCCGAGCAGCTTCACCAGCGAGACAACTCACAGGCGAGATCCGCTAATAAGCTGCTGGCAAATGAGATCTTAATTGTAGATTTATTTAATTCAGAGACAAGCGCTCGTGTTGCATTAAGAGCAGCCTATTAACATTCATGCGTGAGCATCCACTAAGTGTGAACAGATACAATTCAGCGCAAAACCGCATTTCTAAGCGCTGGAAGAGGGAGTAATCACCTAAACCATCACCCTGCTCTGAGCGGGAGGGGCCAGCCACCAGGGAACGAAACGCTGTTCCAGGCATTGTGTCGGGTTCTCGTACTCAAGCATGTCTCACTATCAATCATTTCTGAAGCAACAGCGCCGAGACTTCCCAAAGCTCCCATTATTGTCTTGTACACTCCCCAGCATTCAAACCAAATAGGAAGTGCAAAAAAAAAATCAGCAGAATTTTGAGACAAAAAAATTCAGAAGCTACATCTGTTGGAGGATACAGTGTTCTGCCTGACACCCCTGCACGATGCTGATGACAAGTCTAGGTTAATCACACAGATGATGATTTGATCCTTACGTCAACTCCTTTAAAAACAACAACGTTACAGGTGTAGCAGCCAGGGGGCTGATGTATTCCTGCCGGCACCTGCACTTCTTGGGATGAGCCACTAGACAAAGGAGCACGCCGGCATTTTGAAGGATGCGACCATGACAGCATCAAAATATACCTTAGTTACCAACTTTCATTATTTGCCCCTCACAAGATTCACTTATAGGTTCAGTCTCTGGGACAGTGTGTACTGGGGAAAACACCCCTCAATGGCCAGTGAGCCACCGGCAATGGACAAAGCGCTCACCGACCGCTCTCCATCCACTCCCGTACACGCCCTCCCTACCCACGGCTGTGCTGCCCTCTACTCCTGGCACCTTCTCCAGCACCCACTGCCCTTCCTCTCCCATTCAACCCAATTCCTTTTTACTATGCCCTACCAATGCCCCTCTTTTGGAAGCCTGGTCTCATTTTATGACTACTGCCAACTCTTTGAGGCCAGAAGGGTCTTTCTGACATGGGGAAAAAAATAAATAATAATAATAAAAAAATCACTGCATCTGTTCTGAAAGGCTTTTGTTTTGGGATTTACTTCGCCCCCATTTAAACTGAATCCCTTTATTCCTCTCTCCAAAGGCAGCATGGTGTACAGTGCTAACAACCCCTCGGCCCCAGAGCTCACGATGTATAAATCAGGGTGGACACACCACCCAGCAGAAGGGACGCCTCTTCCCCGAGCGCTGCCCTTCATTCGCACAGAGGATGGAGCATGAGCCGCTCCATTTGCAAACACCCTGGGCTCCTTATCGATCAGAAGCAGGAGCGCGTTTCGCCGCCGGAGCGCATCCCCAGTTTTAACCTCCGCAGGAACACACTGCCCTGCACCAAGCCCGGCACCCTGCGCACACACCCGGCCAGGCTGAGCCCCCTCCGGGCGGCCGAGGGACCCCCGGCACCCCAGCGGGGCCGGGGACAGCGCCCGACAGGGCGCACACCCGGGGATGGGCACAGGGACACCGGGAACCACCGACCCCCGCGCCCCCATACCCGCATCCTCCTCGTCGAAGCTGTTCATGCAGGGGAAGTAGATGGCGAGGGCCTCGAAGGATGCGGAGAGGCTGAGTCGGCTCTGCGAGCGCTCCATGAAGAGCCCCTGTCCGGGGGCGCCGCCGGGGGTCTCGCCCGCGGCCGCGGGCGGCTTGGCGAGCTTGGCCGCCCCATTCTTCACTCGGAGCACGGCCCGCGGCGTCTTGGCGGCGGCGGGGCCGCGCTGAGGCGGCGGGCGAGGCGAGGCGGGAGCGCGGAGCGGAGCGAGCGCAGCCACCTGCTGCCCGCCGGCTCTGGGCGCCGCCGCCGCCCCCCGCCCGCCCCGGCAGCGCCGCCGCCAATGCTGAGGGAGGGGCGGGCCCGCCGCGCTCCCCGCCCGCCCCGGGGGAACCGGACCGGCCGAGCCTCCCCCGCCCGGGGAGAGCCCAGGGGCTCTGGTCGCCCCGAGGGGCTCTGCTCGCCCTGCCCCGGCCGCGGAGGGTCCGTCACGTCCCTGTCACAGAGGCAGTGCCGCTGTAGGTTTGCCTGTCGTTTGATCTGAGACTGACTGGGAAGTAACCAGACGGAGCGCGGCTCTGGAGTTGATCTCACTCAATTAATTATTTCTTGCTGTTTACGTTGAGGGAATGTTGCAGGCTGAAGCCCCGAAGAACCAGGCAAAGTATAAACACAGAGTGAAAGCCTTTCTCTTCCCCAAGTCCTCACTGTCTAAGTAGCCAAGACAAAGAACAGAAGGCAGGACAATTTTTCTTACACAAATTCAGGGTATGAAGCATGGGAGTTTAGCTTGGCTTGTCCCAACACTGCATGAGGAAAGTCTCCCTTCGAGCTAGGAACTGAATGCAGATTTCCTGCCTTAATCTCAAGACTACTGTCTCAAACAGCGATGAACAACCTTGAGGCTTTAAGGAGGTTTCTTTCAAAAGAGGGGGAAGATAAGCAACACCAATAGGATTGAAGGCACAGCCCCATAGACACCGATGCCGGGACAAGGATGGCCCCAGAGAGCAGAGCCCGCAGCAACAGGGAGGGGGATCCATCTCTCCCATTTGTAAAGGGATGTTTCAGTCATTGCCTCTGTCAGAGGTCCCTCTGTCTCCCCAGGTAAGCTGTTCACAACAGCATTTAACTCCATGCATTAAACTCTCTCCTTTCCTCCACCCACATCCCTAAAGTCATCATCACCCACCAACAGAACAGTCATTTCCAAGGTACCTCTCTCAGACACCAGAAAAAAAACCCTCCCCAAAATATAAAAGCCAGTGTTTGGATGTATCCAAGCTCCCAGGGGGAAAGCATATAAACCAGGGTGTTTTCCTTGGTGGATTACATTAAATGGAAGGCAGCTGCCTGTGGTAGCTCAGCATTAAGCCCATTTTGCAACACAGTGCAACAAAACTGGGGTGGGGTGACACAGGATGTGTTTTCCAACAGCAGCTTGGTCTGCCCAGCAAGGTTACTGTCCCCTCAGGGCACAAAAGGAGGATGTTCCTCATGTGCTTGGTCTGTCCACCCATCATGATAACCAAATGCCATCCCACTGAACACATGAAGCCACAGACCTATTTGTGCTATTCCAAAAATGCAGATTACAGCCCAGCATCTCTGTAAGATAAACTGTGGCTAAAACTACTATATACTGAGTGCTGCAGAACAAGAGCCTGAAGTGAAAAAGTGTTTTCCCTCTCTAGTACTTGGGCCCAGCTACAGACAACCAGAAGACAAGCAGACTGGGCCTCCTGGGTCAGGCATTCCCAGTGATCTGCTCAACCCCACTTGAGCTTTAAAGCTGTGATTGGCCCAGAGATCTCCAACTTTCAAACACTGCTTTTTTTTACTTCCGTGCACAGTAAGCAACATAAGAATTATAGCCCATAATATTACCTGCAGTCTTCTCTCAAACAGTTAATAAATCAATACATTAAAACTCTTCTAATCTGCTAAAAAACCTACCAGAGCTGTATAATTTTTGTGGCTGCCAGTATCAGGAAGCAAGAGCAGGGAAGGGATGCCAGGAAGAACCTGGAATGACCCCATGCCATGGGAGGTAGAGCAAGGCAGGGGGGGAATGGGGTCCAGTAAACACACCAACTGCAAGGCCATCTGTGAAAAGCCAAACAGCAGTTTAAGAGCAGATCTCTAAGACAGACTCACCTACAGCACAGCCCAGGCACAAACTGAAGGCCCCTGGGGTTGGAGGTTTAATAGAGCTCCTGGCTGAAGGTGTGAATGCGAGCCCCAGATTAGGCTTGTTGGGGCAATTAAGGCCAATTAGTGCACTCCTGGCCCTGGCATCCAGAGTCTTCATTACCAGTGATGCATCCAGAATGGCAGAGGTCATATGAATATCATATGCCAAGCTGAGTTTGCAGGGCTTCCCAATAGAAAATACGGTATTTAATTCAAAATCTAATCAAAATTTACTCTGGAGTTAGTGAGTTATATGAATTACTTCATCAAAGCTAGGCCAGGCAGGCAGTAAAGCAGAAGGAACAGAATGAACTTATTACAGACAATGATGACTCCAGGTCTGAGTTTTGAAAGGCAGGGGAATCAGTGAGGAATGTATTACCATATGTTTAAGATGAGATTTCAATAGCACCAATCAAGGCATTAGCAACAGCTATAGGGACAAATCTAAGTGCATTAAAGCTGTTAAGTCAACTCCTATCTACCAGTCCTGCCAGCACATTTGATCAGAGGAGCAAGAGGCATCTGTGAATCAAACTCTGCTTCCAGGTTGCCAGGCACAGGATCTACCTAAAATTGCTGAGAGCTGCTTTCTTTTCATTTAAAAAATGCAAGGAAAAACTTAAATGGGGAATAGAAATTTAATCTCAACTTCGTGCTGTGGTCATCTAAATGTCTCTTGTTTCCCTACATCTCGAAAGCACAGTGATGGCAGACACTGTGGGTTGGAGAGCAGATCTGTTCCCACAACACTCTTCTCTGTCCTTTGTTTTCTTCACCAGCACACCAGGACTGGAGACCCTTCTGCTTTTAGTGCTTTGAGATCTACCTTTGACGTGCTGAGGAAGACTATCATCACCCCCACATCGCCTCTGTGCACCTTTCTCCGTGCTCATCCATATTCCAGCTTCCTCTCAGACAGTGTGAACCCCTTGTACCTGCACAGCTCAGCACCACTTGGAGGTCACATCCCCTCAAGGCTCCTTTTGTGCAGTTTGTTCCAGGCTGTGTCCCACCTCCCTCTTTACCATAGCTGTGGGATCAACCATGCTCAAGTCCTCCCCTGCTCCTCTCTGCCACAGAGGGTCTTGGGCTGAGTGCTCTCAGCATCATCCCTTGCCTTTGGTGTCATCTGCCTCTCGTTTGCCTGCTACATTTTGCTCCTCAGGGCAGGGACAGATCTGTGTCCTGCAGGGCTCTTTGATTGTTGGTTGGGCCAGAACATCCTAAACTAAAACCATCTGCCTTAAAGTGAGACAAAATGCATTGACAGCTGGAAATCAAAGGGACAGTTAAAGGCATAATGCCCTCCAGATGCCTGGAGGAAACTGTTTATTTTGGCTGCCTGTTTAAGGGAAATACGAATTTGCAGTGAAGCTGGAAATTGTTAGTCTGTAAGTGTTCTTCTTCACTGATCAACATAGACAGAAAGATCCTTGGGAGGGACTCAGAGAAGTGAAGATAAGCAAGGAGGAGGGTTCCTGTGATGTTGTAAATAAGATGGGAGTGCAATTGGGAACGAATAAACTCAAAGATTTAGTACCTCCAGAACAGCACGTCTGCGGCTGCTCTGGTGGAAGTGGTTAATTGATTGTTTCCCCAGTGAAGCAGGCTCTGACTGATTGAACCATGGAAAGCTCTCATAGATTTTTCCTGCTGGCTCTTTCTCTTCCCACTAGTCACGTAGCTTATATTTTTGCCTTCACTCTTAGGTGTCTGGATCAGCCTAGGAAGTTAGCCTTTATATACTGGAGCAAGGATATGCTGCCCTCTCCCTCTTGTACTCCCTACCGTTCTGTGTGTTCCTGTTTGGAAATAAAACCAAACTACCTGATTTGTGTGTGTTTCTCTTTCTGCTCTGTCTGCCCACTGCTTGCTCAAAACAGAGTCCACGTGCTGGGAGCTCAAATGCAGCAGGGAAAAAAGCCCTGCTAGTGAGAACACATCTCGTGCATAAATCTGCTCAGGGTAAATACAGCAAGGGTGAAGAGCTGATCTCCTCCCTGTCTCATAGGACCCCTTCCCTGAGTGAAGCCAGGCAGTTCATAGCTGGCAGTACACGACTTTATCATCCCTGTTCTCCAGGGCTCTAGTTGATTCCCTTACAAGTTCCTCTTGGTCGTTCTGGGCAGGCTGGAGGGCAGGATGTGAGATGTGCTGAGCATGGATACACAGAACCAGGGAATAAACACCACAGGAGGGCCGTGGTCTTGTGGCATTGCATCAACATGGGGTGATGCTCAGAGATACTGGCTCACGTGCCCAACCACACCAAGCACCACAGGTTCACTGGGCTTGGTTGTTGTACACTTACAAAGCAAGACACATTTTAAGTTATTTAATATTTCTTGCTATTTGTGTTGAGGGAATGTTGCAGGCTGAAGCCCCGAAGAACCAGTCACAGTATAAACACAGAGTGAAAGCCTTTCTCTTCCCCAAGTCCTCACTGTCTAAGTAGCCAAGACAAAGAACAGAAGGCAGGACAATTTTTCTTACACAAGTTCAGGGTATGAAGCATGGGAGTTTAGCTTGGCTCGTCCAACACTGCATAAGGAAAGTCTCCCTTCGAGCTAGGAACTGAATGCAGATTTCCTGCCTTAATCTCAAGACTACCTTCTGCTTTTCACTAATAATAGAAGCAATATTCTAACCTTAGAAAAATTAAATTTTAAGCCAGACAGACTTTTACAACATCCTGTGTTGGTTGGGATCCAGGCAAGCCAGGAGTGCTCTGGTCCCTGCATAGCCCAACCACATCCATGCCCTGGAGCTACACTGTGTGCAGTGTCAGGTCACAGTGCTCTGCCTTTACTCAAACCTGAAACCCCATCTAGAAGCTGATATCCTGTTGTTTTAAGTCACATCTCTCCTACACCCTCTTTAGCTATCAAAACCAAGCCCACAAAGGTGCTAAAGGACTAGTGAGACAGAGCTGAGAGGATGAGTAATGAGACGCTGAGCTGTCAGCCCTGGGTCCCTTGCTAGCCTTGCTTTTTCTCACATTTGTGTAGCCAGCATTTTCCTGAGTCCAGAGAACTCAAGGCTTCACAGCACATGCTGCAC